CCCGGGACCGGCACCGGGCGCTGCGGGACCCTCGCTCTCCGCCTCTGCCCCCTCCTGATCCTGCTATTTTTATGCTTTTCTCTCCTAGACTGAACAAATCACTCGTTTCTTCCTCCGCGATGTTTGTCGTTTTCGCTGCTTCCCAGCCCGGGCACCACCGGCTCCGTCTTTCCTCATCCTTTCCCTGCAGCCGCCTCGGCTTATTGGATTTACATCTCTGTGAGAGCCTCTCTGTGCCTGCCATCCTACCACCCAGCCACTTATTCCCGCTGTGTATTTTGGCATATATTTGCCAATTGCCACGTTTTCCATTTTTTGTTTTCTTTCCGATTCTAATCCCATCCTTCAAATTGTTTACAGCCTCTTCCAGCTTGATTGCATCTATCGTTCAAACCACTGCTGAAAGCGCTGAAGAGAACTGGGCCCAAAGTTCTTTCAGCCCATTTCTCACCAAGACATGGAGGTACACACGTGTTGAAAAGTTCAACATCCATGTCAAAAGGGAACGAAAAGCATAATCCATGTTCCAGCTAGGTCTTGAGATGACACCTCATTGCTTTATGAATTGGTAATGGGTGGTTTTTACAGCTCACGCTACAGCAAGAGTTCTTTGACAGCAGAACTGAATCTATTACTATCCTAATTTTCCTGTTTCACCTTGGAAATGCATCCTACCAGCCCAAGTGGTCCAAAATACAAATCAAGTTTGAAACAGTTGTGCTTGCCTCACTCTCCGCCAAAGTGCTTTGACTCTTTCAGGTGGATCCTCTCTCAAAGTTATCTTTAGAAAACAGTAGTGTATTCAGTGTATAGTATCTATACTCCCTCTGAAACTTGCTGTGACTATGAAAGAAACAGACAAACCTGTTTACAAAATGAGCCGTGAAAGAGACAGGTCAAAACTCATTCATAACTTTGTAAGAGCAAGAGACTAAATACTATCTCCATTCCCAAAACAAACACAGTAACTGCTACAATCTAGCAGTACTTTACTTCTGCTACCTGAAGGAAGGGAAATGGAGACAGTAGCAAGGACAAATGAGAGAGAAAACTAGCCAGGATGAAAATAAGGAGCCCTAGCTGGAGTTGTTTGTATTAGGTGCACATATATGGTCTTCATAAGTAGGAAACCAAGGTTAGCAAATTCAGAATAGGGGTTAAAAAATTTCTTGCTTCTGCTGGGAAAGTTGAGAGTTTAAACTAATGTGCACTGCATTTAAAAAATACCTTTCTTCCCATGTTCTACCAGTATGTCCAGGATTATCAGCCACAGCTGCTGTTACTGTCCCCTGCCAGGAGGCTCACTCCCAACAGCAGAACTGGACATTTGCTCTCCGTCCTACAAGAAGCCCAGAACAGGTTCCTGGGAACTGCTGTCCAGGTGAGGTGTGAGGTTTTGGCTAAGCAGTTTGCATAGCTGCTCTTCATCTGTATGCTCCAGCAAAACAGAGAGATCTACACTAAATCTACCAGTCATCATTCATGTGTAACAGAAGTGTCTTGGAGTTCATCTGAAAGTGTGATCATTTCCCTTTCAACAGCCTTAACCTATCTGTTTGCACAATCAACTGAAACGTCAGTTTTGTGTTCAGTAGGGACCTGAACCTCCCCTTTGACCCTGTGCTCCTTCACATCCAATATGTCACACCTCTTTTTCAGGATGATACCTATTCTAAATTCAAAGACACTCATTTCAGGAGTTTGTTTGGACTGTGGATTACTGATATCAGCCATTCACAGCTGGAGCTCAGGAGCCAAATGTAATTATAAGCCACAGCAAAAAATAGATATCTGAGTCCAAAATATGCTATGATTTGACACAATTTGCATAAACCAGGATTTCAAATCTGCCATTAAGGACAGGAATCGGGGGCAATGAGAGTTACTAAGAAGCAACCTGTTTGTAATATATCCTGACCGACTACGTAATTATTACTTAAAGATGCATCTGCTGCATCAAGTATTTGGTGGCAACATTTTAAATGACCTTGTCCAGCACATCATCTTTTCAAAAAGACAGAATTGTTTTTCAGAGCACATCTCCCAAGGTATTCCAGATGACAGTGTGTGGCTGATGCAGCTGACACAGTCCACACGCAGGACTTTATACTGAACTTGAAGCCAATAAAAATAACAGAAAATAATTGTTCTATGAATTGAAGTCAGTTTATGTAATTTTTTTGCCCAGAAGTGGCTACAAAGCATCTGTCCTATCATTTTTTTTACATCTATGTTCTGTTCACATCCACGATCTGTTCAACTGTGACAGGAAAATTCCCTTTTCATGTAGGGCTTCCCATTTTGTTGCCACATCATACTGCAAGTGAGCAGTGAGTTCTCTGTTTGCCAAACAAAAAAGGGAATCCATTGGAGGCACAGCAAGAATATCCAGTGCATGGCCAGTGCAAGGGCCCACTCACTCTGTCACTGCATATTCAACACTGACCATCAGTTTAACTCCAAGTGGCTTTCATTGGAAAGACTGACGAAGCTCGGGAATTCACAGGCTAAAATCCTCATCCTACCCCTTCCCGTATTCTCACACTATGAGGACAAAGTCTGGAGCTTTTAAGCTGTAGAAAACAAACAGGACTGGGTTAGGCCAGACTGACTGAACAGGTAAGAACTCTGAAATGCAATGCAAGGAGTATGTAGGAAGAGAGAAAATCCTGTACCACGCAGGTGTGCAGAGCACAGAGGATGTTACTGTGACCTTGGTGTCTGAGCTAGTTGTGCAAATATTCCACATGGATCTCGAAGTTGTGCAAAGATCAGCACCTAAGTCACAGGATGACTATGAAATGAGTTGAACTTTTTCCAGCATCGTGATTTCTGGAAATGTTGCCATATTTAGGTCAATAGTCTATAGCAATGCAAACATCTCTATGCCAAGCTAGTTCCCAGACATCCCCTTCACTCAGTGCAAGGGACCAAAACAATCATCTGTTACGGAGTTTTCAAACAATAAGCTTTAATTGCCTTAATAGAAAAATAAGCACTGAAATATATATAAATGTGATTACATTAAAGTAATTCTGTAGTCTAACATACTAGAAACCAAAGCCCAGTCATATTTTTAATGATACAGAGTAGCAAGATTTAGGGTTTAGAAATTTTCAGTAGAGAATACCGAAGTATCCAATATTGTTTAGGAAACCAGAGTAAAGATGAGACAAACCTCCATTTTGCAATAAAAACTAAGTAGATCAATTTATTCTGTATACTATACAATGTGTAAGTTTGTAAAGAACAATTGACATTTTTATCACCTTAACATCTTGACTGGGTGTAAATATGTCCAACAAAATGTACTCCTGGGGCCTTTACACAAACACTGTCCTACTACATCAAGAACAATGAGAGGGAAGCCTTTGGTGTTACAGATTTGGGGACATATCAGTGAAGTTGTAATTAATCCACTTAACTATCTCAAATAAAATGTTGGTGCTATCTGCTACTATAAGCCTACATGAATACTACTCTAACAACGAAACACTTGTCTATCTTTAAAGGCAAGATATGAAAGGGACTGCCAGTCTAGTGTGGACAGGTTTTCTTTGAAAAAGGCAATTATCAAATGGTAAAACTCATATAATACATTATGTACATCAGTTTGGATAGCTGAGTTATCTTGCTGGAGTAAGCTAAAAGTAAGCATCAATTTGCAGTCACGTTCAATTTACTGTTAAGTGATTATTGGACCTAAGTTTTATACAGTGTATAGAACCAAAATAGCTGTGCCTGCTGCTGAGGTCTGTCGGATGTGAAGGCTCATAATCAGTCATTGACCTAGTTAGTATTACAGTACTTCAAATATACACATGGATAATATATTCATAGCTGAAATTGTAGTAACCTTAAGAAGCAGTCACGTTCAATTTACTGTTAAGTGATTATTGGACCTAAGTTTTATACAGTGTATAGAACCAAAATAGCTGTGCCTGCTGCTGAGGTCTGTCGGATGTGAAGGCTCATAATCAGTCATTGACCTAGTTAGTATTACAGTACTTCAAATATACACATGGATAATATATTCATAGCTGAAATTGTAGTAACCTTAAGAACTGCACCGAGTGAGCTTGCTTGTGTTGTCCAACCAGCAGGACAAGCCAAGTTGTAGCTAAGTGAGTGGAATGTTTAAATTTAAATGGCTATCTTTTTAAACCTTCCCAAACATCAAGCTCCACCTTATGGGAGCTACAGAATAGTGGCACCAGACAGTACACAGCAAGTCACCTTGAATCATTCAACATTGGTTTCAGGCCCAGTCCTACCATTAAGTTTCAATTTCATTTATACATAGAAAAATAAAGAGGGATTTTCACATTAAAACAAACATCTATAAAAAGCAGTTTGCTTCAGTATTTCCAGTTTCCTTGTCATTCTTCCAGCCTAATTTCTTAAAGTAGTCAAGTAGGTCCATTTCTCAACCTGCTCTGCAAAAATCACAATTTTTTTTATAATACTAGTGGAGTAAGGAATAAGGACAAGCTTGACAGAGCCCATTTAATTACTAGGAAAGGGCAATACAGACTTTAAAAGAATCAGGTTAGTAATTTTGAAATTCTCTGGAATTACTTCTCTCAAAGACATGACATAGACACCAGTACATTCTGATCAAAACAGGACCAAATAAAGACTCTTCTTTTCCTTTTTTACCATTTTATGTTTGCCTTTAGAAGAGAGCACTGCAGAAGATATGGGCCAGCATTCTTTTTGACTAGCAGTCCTTTATACCACAAGAACTTTCTGACCACGTCAGCACAAAGTGCATGCTACTAAAAACACGCATCTGTAAGAGTGTTTGCTCTTCTAATGCCCACATTGGTGCTTTGTTTTCAATAGGCTGTTTCAGAACTGTTGCTTTAAAGAAAAAGGTAATCAGTAAACTGATCTTTTCAGACTTGTTCTCCCAAAGAACACGAAGGCTGTGACTACCTATATGAAAATCAATTAAATTATGGATCATCCTGCACTTTTAATATTCTGATTTCATTCAACAAACATGCTTTCAAATGCATCAAGTCACCTGTCTAATATCAACTATGTATTTTGCCTGTCTAGTACTTACAACCTGCATAATACAGGTGAACTCAAGTTCATTCCTATTTTCTGATATGAAAAGTCACCTATTTCACAATAGGTCATTATATAAATACCATTTCCATACATCTGTTTCCCCAAAGCCAATGAGGGGTTGCTGTATCATGAAAAGGAGATAGTTTACTACCTCTTCAGGAGTCCAAGAAGAAAATTAGACCTTTCTGCTTCCAGAAGTCTAAAATAGCCCAAAGACAATTTTATATCAGACCTTAGTGAGCCCAGATTTGCTGTCTGCCACCCAGGCAGCTCTCTACAACAGTACATTTAGCCATCTTCCATGTCATCAGACAGAGCATTTCAGCTTTAAAAGCTTAAACAGCTGCTGTTTAAGCTGAACAGAAAGGGCACTTGCCTGCAAAAATAGGTACAAATTCCAGATTTATATTTGAATGCTGGACATTGTCGGGAAATTAAATATACAACCGCAAAAGTATAGGGTTCAGTCAAGTGTAAATGTGTTTCACAAAGTTCAGGTAGACAATTTTCACTTTCAGTAGGAAGATTCTGGGCTCTCAGTTTCAGGACAAGACTTTGAAAGATACAGAATCACTTGTGCTTTGATTGGCACATTATCTGCTTTTTAAAATGTAAAACTAATAGACGTTTGCAAAAGGTTGTGCAAAACTATTGTATTTACAAAAAATGGCACAAGAGTGAATTCAACAGTCTATGCACATGCACACTTCATTCACATCTTCAACAAAAGTGTGTCCTAAGCTACGGAACTGAAAAGAATACCAGCTTCAACAGGCAGTTGTCAATAAGCACTAGGTTCACAAGAGTTACACCAGAATGGGCAAATATTGCCCAAGTAAAAACTCTATTGTTAAAGCTGAAACAGGTTTAAGGCCGTTCAAGTTCAAAAGCAGAAACAAAATTCAATCAGAGCCCTGTCTTGGTTTTTGTACATGCTTTACCATCTAGCAACTTGTGGTCTAAACCTCTATTTTAGACAACAAACCCAAACACGGAAGAAAAACCCAACACAACTGGAGGTTATATTAAATACAAATATGCTGTAATTAAGATGAAATAACAAAAGCAGAAACATTAGAAGTTGTAAAACTTGCGATGTCACTTGCTGGAACCAGTCCTACACTAGGAAATGGGCAATATGTACATTTTCAAGTAGATTACATTGCTCTAACCAAACCTGTCCTTTTTAATCAGTGCATTGTTCTCAACTAGTCCAAATACTACACGTTTTACTCTTAACAGTATTCCCTTACAATAGCAGCACATGCTATCGCTACCTGCAAAGCTGTCAGTCTCGTGACTTAGTGTAAGAAAGAAAAAGGGGGATGTGAGGGTGAGAAATAACTATTAAGGAGAAATAACAGGAATGAGAATAATCATGCAGTTCAGCTGTTCTGGTCAGCCAGCCAGCTTGCTAGCAACAAGAGATGGTTTCCGCTGTGGAAGATCCTGTGGAGTAGGAATATGGTCACCAGTGACTTCTGTCTTGTCAGGAGCTGCAGTAGGCAGTTGTTTGTTCTTCATCTTTGCTTTAGCCATGTTGTAATCACCAGAATCAAAGTATTTTTGCTAGAAGACAAAACACAAATATATTTAAAAGCTTGAAATCTTATCAGATGTATATACTGAATTACATCTTTAAACAAGTATTTTAAATTTTAAAAACAGTTGTAACATCTTCCCAATTCATCAAGGTAGCTCTATGTCCATTAAAAAAAAGACATTAGTAAGACTATTAGGCACAGATAGCTAAACTCTTAATATCAGGTAAGTACACAGCTAATGTTTTACGTGTACCATTGAACTCACACCATATATGAACATTATTTTTGCCTTGTTTATCCTAAACGCTCATCTCCCACAACTGAAGCCTTGGGGTTTGTAAATTTTGTTGCAGTGAAGAAGTTCTGCTACACAGAATAACCAAACAATGCATGAACTGAAGCTGAAGAACAGAGCCTGCTCTATCACACCAGATCAAAGTAGCACGACACTGCAGGCCAGCAAGAAAACCTCTTCTCTGTATACATTAAAACAGTAAAATTATAAATCCTAAAGTCTCCAAACCAATTATTTAGCAAAGTCAAATCTACTGCACAGTCCTTCTGAAAAGCACTATGTGAAGGAAATTCTTATCCCACATTCCAGGGTTTTTTCTGAATACAAAAGTAAATTCAGTATTCCTCCAAAATAGTGTTCCTTAATATATCAGCAAAAATTTTATCATTACCTTTAAGAGCCTTTTTTGTTGTCAGACTTCCCAAAATACTAAGTTATCTATGGATGTTAAAGCCAAATGACTGTTATTTATCTGCATCATGGCAAGATGAGGCATGGAATTTCGTCCAAGCTCTGCATCAAGTCTTCAACTGCTCACTGAGATAACTTGGAAGGAAAGTTATGTGTTTTTTAGATCTTACCATGAGGTCTGCCATTAAGGTACTTGCAACTCATGATTTTGAGCAGATTTCATGTGGCAAAAAAACCCCTAGATTCAGGATTAAGATTTACAGCACTAACTGCTGCTTACAATCACAATCATCTCTGCAGAGAAGCCCACAGTTACCTTTGTACAGTCCTCAGCCAGCTAACAACAGCCATCACTATCTGCTATGTCTAAGTGCTTCCAGGCAGCATACTGCCACCATACAGCTTATTTTGTATGAGTACTAACCAGCTGCAAAATGTTCAGTAGCAGCAGTTTAAAGACCTGACTTAACAGGGTTTTACCAAAGGGGGAAGAGGTTGTTCAGGCAGAGCCTGCTGAAGGAGGTTATCAATATTCCCTGCCAGAGCCTTGAAGTTACCAAATCTATTTTTCCCATGCAGACACTAGTACATCTGAATCACTTTTATTCATAAACCTTCCCAACTCAAACTTTTTGATGGTGTAATCCCTATTTACACCACAGTGTTCTAGCACTACATCTGCAGTTTAGACCTCACGTTAGAACATAATCTTGTTTGGAAAAAGGCTTTCATATTTCGCCCTTCAAGCCTGAAGCAACCAAAGGAAACTTTTAAGCAGCAGCTGGGTAATAACACAATCACACAATCTCTGGATATGTTACAGCTGTTAACAGGTATCTATTTCTGTCCATGTGAGTTCCAAAGAGAATCCCTCCACAGGAGCATGGTGTAGCATTGTTCTTGTCTACTATTATTCTGGAGAAAGTGTGTTAATAATGGTGTGTGCACACAATGCAGAATATTCCTGGACAGCAAATATGAATTGGCAGAGCATGTCCTAACTGTCAAATCAAAGAAAATTTGGGCTACAGCTAACCACATACATTGAGAATATCTGAGAAAACCTACCATCCTTCATGCATTAGAATATCAGTCCATTTCTTCCTTTTAACTTATTTCTGTATTTTCCTGATTCTAGCTTCTCATAGGTGGCCTGTATTTGATCATCCCTTTCAAACTGATTATGTCTGTCCAGGTGTCTTCGTGTCAGAAACACTACCTCCAAGCATACACACTATCCTCACTCTATTTTAAACTTCAGCAAGCAGCCCGAAGTACACCAGGCCCTGTATCAAGTAAAGATGCCTCTTCATTTAAAGCACTGAGCACACTGAACAAAAATAATAAAAGATAAAAAGGAAAGCAGTTATTACCACCAGATCAGGAACTGAAGAAGGCAGATTGTGAATTGGAATCCACAATTTTATGTCATCTTTCAAAGTAGCACAAGTCAGTTGAGATGGCCATTGATCTACCTCTGCTCAAATGTGTGAGTACATCGCAACAGCCTTTGCATCCAATCGCGTATCATCAACGTGAAGATGCTGTACTTGCTGGTGGCAAGTGTAAGCAGTCATAATTCCTTATGGCTATCAACCCCTGGTGAGTGAATGCTGGTCTGTTTTCCTGAATTATCATCACAATACATACTTACCCTCTCCCCCTCCGTGTCTACACGTGTTGAACCCACTGAAGTCTCACTTGGGCTGCCTTTGACCATGTAACAGCATAACTCAAAGGGAGTCACCTCACCTACCACCTGCCCGTGCCCAGCAGCCATTAACAATGCTGCATATGCTCCAATTTATGACAGAAAGATTATTCAAAAAAACCTGCCAACAGTAACAATTCCCAGGAGATGTTACCAGATAGCACAGAATTAGATCAGCACTGAACTCCAACAGCTGGTTTGCGAAGGACTTATACTTGGAATCACTGTTTGTACTCAAAGGGCCTAGACAATAGTAAAAGAAAAACAACAGTGTGACAGCAGTGAAAGCACCATCAGAAGTAGTGACATACTATGATTAGTCCAAGAACAGAGTTCTAGCATGGCTGAAGGGCATTACATAATCACTATATGAATAATTAAACTAAAAAAATAAACAGTCGAATAGCTAAGAAAATGGTTAGATGTGGAACAATATTGAAATGTTAACTCACTCCTCATTCTTCTATCAATATTTTTTGGTCAGGGTGTATATCCAGAATCATACCACCACTCTCAAATCACTAGTGTCAGACAATGCCTGGTGTGAGAACAGGCACTGAACTCTCATGTGCTAAAAACATGGATAACAAGAGGGGATATACGTTTTGGGGGGCATAAGAATGGGCAAGATAGATAAAATCACTACAAAATAGGGATGAGGTTCTAACCCTTGGTGTTTGCTGTAATGTTTTCCCATGGAGTCTAGAAGCTTCTAAGTTTAATTTTTCATAACAAGTGTGGTTGAGCCACTGATGCTACAAACAGCTATCCTGCCAACCTGGCATTTGCTTTGTGGAAAAACAATTATCTTCCTTGTGCTTTCATGAAATTTACATCTCTGAGGACTCTTTCACCATGCAAAGGCCTGTGGAGTGGAAAAAAACCCCAAACAAGAGACACATGAATTTTGGAATTTTTTGTCCATACCCTGTGGACAATAAAGAACTCACTCCTTTTTGAAGCCTCTTCCTCAAGAAGTCTGAGCCTCCTGGCTTCTGGCCCAGATGAGGATATCTTGCTTTCAATTTTGCTTCTTCAGCTTTTTCTGGACTGATCACCTTATCCTCCATTTCCTGAAAGACAGTGACAGATACTGTAAATGAAATAAACAGCAATGAACTACTTATGCAGAATACCTTTGCAGGTGGTACACCCACATGCCCACTGCTGCTACCAAGTGAGCATATCAAGTATCTGATTAGGCATTTTCATATGTTCTCTCTCCAAACCTGACAGCAACTGTAGGAGTTCAGCCTCTCATCTTAGATACCCTTCCTGGAGACGTGTGCGCATTTCCCTCTCAAAGAGGTCTGTTCTAAATCTGAATTGCTCCATTTTGAACAAAAATCCCCAAACAAAACACAAGACTTTATTTTTTTTTTCGTCAAAACAAAGGCTCCACTAAGAACAAACAAATGCTCAATGCTGGGCAAGAGCCACAGGACTTTTTTTCCAAATGTCTCTGTTTCATCATGTAGCTGCAGACAGACTAGTGCCTGCATTGCCACACTGATCTGTATGACTGCTCTGTCATGTGTTGATATGCTCTGTGAAAGTCTCAAAAACATGCCTGCTGTCCTATTAATAGCAATACTGTATTTCTCTATACATGTCTATAATTATCCTAAGATTCTGAGGATGAAGACAGGTAAGTAGTACATTTGTGTCAAAATGCTTATTTTATGAGTAAAATATGGATGCTCAAAATAATCATTTGTAGATAGCCATTTGGCAAAACTCTAATTTGCTCACTGGCTACTTCACACTCATCTGTTCTGGTCCATGTAGCAATTTGATGTATGAAGTACAATTTACTCCACTGGATCATTTCTAAAGTATCTTCTCTTCAAACTTCTTGGTTTGCTCTTTCCAGGATTTGGCCACAGCCACATTTATTTTTTTAATGCAAACCATTTCTAGTTCAGGGAAAACATATAATGATTTGCACTCAGTGCTGTAGGGTTGAATTGTTATTACCACCTGAAGTCACAGAAAGACTTTTAAGCAGGAAGAATTGCCACTGGAATCAGGAGGGCCTTGTTCACCTGTGACTAAGGTTTCACAACCACTTACAGCTGCTTAGGCAGCCCCTTCACACTCTTTTCCATCCCTGTCATCATCCCTTGCACTGCATCAATCAGATGACTGGCTGTACTCCCCAGCAATAGGTTACAGAAATTAATTCCATAGAAAAATAACAATTTATCTTTTTTTTTCTTCTCCCCTTTTCAGGCTGTTTCACTTGGATCCATTTCCACAGTCTGGATCACCAAGCAGCTACACAAACAGGTATGTTAGCCCCGCAGCAGGGAGACAGAGGAACACAAGGAGCTGGAAGCTGTGCAAGCCAGAACTGCCAAAGAACTAGAGCCACCTCACTAGCCTATCCTAGGTGCTCTCCTCTCTCTCTTATAAAAGCTTGAAGGTGTATAATATTCAACACCTTTCTGGTAAGAAGTCTCAGAAACAAAGATTATAACACATTTAGCATATAACACTGTCCAGTTGCCCTATTAGGCCAAGACTTCTCAAGGACAGCTTTGTACAGAGAGAACCTGAATTAACAGTTCTCCCAAGGAAAGACAGAAATTCTCCTAACAGTTTAAGAGACACTTCTATCACAACAGGGTACAATGCTTTTTATTACGTGAAAAAGCAGTTAGGGCAAAATACAAATAATACCAGGTTTTCCTGACACTACTGAACACAGAACTACACCATTTCTCACTACACAATATCATACCAGCCAAGACCACAGTTTTCATGCTTTATACAGACCATCCAACTTCTGTTCTTCCCATTGTGGTTCATTAACACGCCGACACTGACTGGATTTTCTCAAAACTAATCCTTTCAGCTCCACACACTCAACATCTAATGCTGAATCACTGGGTACTCACTGCTGAGCCAACAGACAAAGCATTTGAGGGGACATATTTTGCCACCAAAATCCAAAAGGAAGTATTTTTTTTTAAGACCAGAGGACCAACAATAAATAGCTTATATAAATATGCATTCATGGTGGATCAAAGGAGACATTTATGCAAACTCACAGGGCTGACAAATTATCACACAGCAGCAACACAAACACAAAATACTGTGTTACGCATCAATGCAGCTGAAAAGGACACAGAGCACAGGCACCCACTCCTCATGCCCAGGAACAGCTCAGACTCACAAAACTAAGGAAGACGAACGGGCAAATTTCAATACCATGACTTGGGGTGACAAACAAAACCAGCTGACAGTTTCAAAAAATACTTAAGACAACAGTTCTTCACATAAAATACAGTGAAGCTGCAGAACTTGCAGAAGGATACAGGATGCCAAGAAATCAGATGGATTCAGAAAGCAAGTCGATATGTTCATTCGCAGCTCAGAAGGCTTTTAAACCACAGATTGCTGAGACCTGGGTGAGTTTTCCTGGGTCTTCACTGCCTGCACGTCCTGACCTTCTGTTCTTCTGGGGACTAGATGGTATTGAGCCCTCTTGGAGATGTGCTGTCGAGCCACAAAGACTTTAACCCAAGCCACTGATACATTTAGAACATTCTCCCTTGAGCTACAGAAGCAACAACCAAGTGACTAACAAATGATTGGGGAGTGGGCGGAAATCAAGATATACCACACACTCTTCTTCCTGGTGACAACCACACAAAAGTTATAATTTTAGTCCTCTGCAGGAATCTGACACAGCTCATGAAGTCATTAAAATGATCTGCCAGGAAGGCAGTAGTTACCTAACTCATTTAAAGATAGATCTGCTTTTAATCTTTGTAGAGGCACCAGCAGCATAAAGTTCTATACCTGCTGGAGAAGTGACCTGTGTGGCCTTTTAAAATTTGCTGTGAACAGCTCTTTAGCAGAAGTCATCAGACAAAATGCAAAGCAGATAATGGGAAAAACATGGCAACAACACAGTCCTACAGCAAACTGATGTGGCAAAAGCTAGTTCAGCAACAAAATGCACCACCTCTAACAGCTTCCTGAGAAACAGAGGCTTTTAAGGCAAAGAGAGTCAGTCAACCAAGCATATGTTCTTCTATGACTAAAATTTCTTTGTTTTTGAACTTCCCCCTTGCCACTGTCCTGAGTTTTCACACTGGGAACAGGAAACACTGCTCTTTGGCAAATGTTCAGTTTCTATCACCCTTCAGTTCAAACCCTTCCTCACTCAGCACAGGCACAGCCTGCCCACAGCATGTCAGAGGAGTTTAGAGAACAGCTCTCATCATGGAAACGCTGCCTCCAAGTTCATGTAGGGGCGTCATCTGTTTTAAGCCTACATATGGGTAAGTACTGCAAAATGGGTTGTTTATGTAAGTATTTCAGAGCTGAGCATTAACCGAGTCAATGTTCAGTTCTGCCTGCCCAGACAAACAGCTTCAGTGCAAGTTAATACTGCAATGTCATAATGGCAGTGGTATCACAGTACCACACTATAAAAGTAAAGTTTTTTATTTTATGGATGTTATATGATTTTTCTTGAACATCTTATCAGACTAAAACTAAACTAGCAGATCAGTCAGGAACTCCTGTCTCAAAAAAAAAAAAAAAAAGTAATTTTTCCAAATAGTGCACAAACACTGTATTTCAAGACTTCAGTCTGAAAACCAGTTAGTAAAACCAGCCTCAGCTGCCTGACTTCATCAGAACACACTAGAAAGCATCACAATAAACTTGCTACCACATGTTTAACTATGCTCTTATTACAGAGCTATTCTAGGAGTGCTGCATAGGCCAGGGACTTATTTTTATAGGCTTTGAACAGGAACAGTATCCCTTCAGCAGCCTACCTAGCATGAACATTAGCTCCCACTGCAGAACACACCTATTTAAGAGAGATTACAGACCTGCCAAAGCAGCTGGGGCTGATTACTGCCCCTACAGAGAAGGGATCACTCCATATTAACCCCCCAAGCTCCACTTGTGCCACTAACTCACATTACAAACTGTAAATTATTTAACAAAAACTACACTGCTGAGGTAGATTAAGCTTTTCTCTTTCAGCGTCCTTCAAAGCAGCACTTATGTTTCATAACTTCTCCTGGTTGGAAACAGCCCCTGGAAACTGCAACTGGGTTCATACAGTAACGACAAGACTGACAAACGGCTGCAGTATGTCACACCAAAGTCATCTGTGGAGCCAAACCCCACTTATGAGACTATACATTAGCTAGAGATGACATAACAGGGACATCACGAGATAACGCAGAGTTATTGTCTAAGAGCCTTAACTAGCACAGGGCACGGTCGCTGTGTATTGAGTATTTCTCCTCCTAACTAGCTCACAGGACAAGCTGAGCATTTTCTAAAGTGAAACAATCGTTCAGCGAACGGATTATCGCAGGTCTCCGGCGCTGCGATAGTGACACCCCCCGCGGGGACGCCGCGGGCCGCAGCG